GCATGCGGCTGGTTAAAAGAGGTGCTGCCAAGGCGTTGAAACCCCATGTTCCGTTTCAAGTAATGTCTTATCGAAATCGATGAAGTCTACGGACCTTTCAGGGCGTCCTCTTATCTGCTGAGGGGAAGTCCTATCTGTCGGGTGGTGATCGAGAGATCGTTGCGAAGAGCGGAATTGGCGCTATAAACTGTTCCTGGAATCGCCTCGATGAAATTCCGAAGTAAGAGAGTCTTTTATGGTAGTGTTGGGATATGTGTTTGCTTTCTCCAGTAAGAATATGGATACACGTATTGATATCATAATCTACCCTTTGGTTGCTCAGAATATTACTAATAGAGTATTTTGAATTGCCGAAATTGGTACACGGGGTAGAAGTGTGCAAAAATCACGGAAATTTTCTCACAATTTTTGTATAGTCACCAAAGCATATGCACATTTTCTCAGGCGCATGAAGGTTCCTCCTCATCATTATCGTTTGTTGCCGATGACTCTAGTCGCGGCGAATCCTATAAATTTCGGCAAACGTGGAAAACTCTGTACGGCTGAGGCGCTTTGCGCAGCTGCGTATATAACAGGGTACAAGGACTTCGCTGAGGAAACTCTCAATGCAAGTTTCGGCTGGGGAGAAGAGTTCTTCGAGTTGAATCGCGACGTGCTGGACTTGTACGCTGCGTGTAGCAGCTCTGATGAAGTTGAGGAAGCGGAGAAGGACTTCTTGCGGAGCCTTGAGGAAGAGGCTGCCCATCGGAAGATGCGAATGATGCCCTCTAGCGACTCATCGAGTGATGAGGAAGACTATGAAGAGGAGGAGACGAGAGAAGTTGATGCGTGTGGTAATTATATCGAAAAATAACAATACCAACGTTCCTGCGACTCGCAGAATTGTGTTGTGAGTGTATTGATGGGACGGCGAGTGAAGTGAAGTTATAAAGATCTCTATCTTGATCTATCCAGGGGGATTTTGTCATTAGCTTCGCACATACGTGTAAATGGGTAGAAGTAGTAACATAGTCGTTGCAGTTTCGATGTTCTGGTTAGTGAAAGCAGCGATTTGCCTGTTGGTATCAGCTGGGGGTGAACGACCACTAACGACGCAACAGATCAAGTTGGAAGCGCCCAGTTTGACTCGAGAGGTGCATCGTCGTCGATTTTGCTATTAATAGCGCCTTTCAGGATATGTATTCGGATGCTCTGCCGAGGCAGTATCGATGTGATGGCTGTCGAGCGATTGCATATCATATCGATAGAGCGCTTTTGAAGGACGCTGAAAAAATACGTGTACCAGGCGTTGGCGGCGTTTACTGGAGTTTCACGACCCGTTTAACGTGAAGTGGCGTAATGCTTGATGTAAATCATAGTATATATTTCTGCGATCGAATATTGAATTCACACAATTGTTTTATGCGAAGCGAATAGTGACATATGTTTTTCACTAGTGTTTTTTCGTATCACGGGTGAAACTCCACTATTTGAATATTACAGCTTTGGCGAGCTGCCGATGCTCGCTAAAATTCGAAACGAATTAGTCCCATCATGAGACTCTCTTGTAGGCTAAAAAGATGCCCGAATACGAGATCATCGATAAACTCGATGCGCTTTGCGACGATAAGTCCTTCGAAGGCTATGGTGTCAGACGCGGGGTGAGCCGTACCAGCACCCAGAGGGCCGTGTAGCTGATATTATGGAGAATATATAGACTAGGTTTTGGAGACAAAGAAACGGAGATCGGAATCTTTGTGATGATCGCGGGTTCGATTCCAGGCACGCGCCTTTTTCAAGCATTTTCCGCTTGATAGTAGTCACGGCGCACAATAGTCTTGGCCAATATACGACATAGGCCGGGTTTGGCGATTTAAAACTATTATTACATTATTGAGGAATTATTTCCACACTTTTCGTCTCATTTCAGAGTAGTGGCGAAAATGTGTTGTCTGGTGTCGGCATCAACCCTCCAGAGACTTTGCACGGCGGCAGTGGTGGCTCGATACAGATGGGGGGACAGCAATGGTCCAGACGACTCGCGTCTATGTGTCGAGAGCTAGTTGGTGAGATGCTATAGAAGTTTCAAAATTGGGCGGCATGTGTATTTTCCGAATTTAGTGTGGGGGGAAAATATGCACATGGTCAACAACATGTGTCGGTGACAATCATGATATTTTCCGAGTTCACTCGCCTTATCGGAGTGGAAAATATGCATACGTCAACTACATGTGTCAGTGAG